TCAGTGGCAGAAGCCTTCACAAATAACACTGTGCAAAAACAGACCCACACAGAGCTTTTCTGCTTGAATCCACTTGGTGAATCCTTCTGGAGAATACCAGTCTACTCCAGCTCCTCATTTCAAGTAAGGAAACTGAGGCCCAGAGAGATCAACCTGTGTTCTCAGACTTTATCACAACCACCTCCAGGCCCCCGGTCTCCTCCTGTAGGATTCTACTTCTTGGGTAGGGCCCAGGTACCTGTAAGCTTTTAAAAGGTTTCATAGGTGATTAAGACTTGTAGTTGGTTTAGGAACGGTTGGATTAAGCACCAGTTTGAAGGTGAAGATTAAATTATAGCAGAGACTGATTCAAGTTGCTCTTGGAGTCATAGAGGCCAAAGCCTAGGACAATGACTCCCAAAAAGCTATCGGAACTAATTTCTGGTACTGAAGTTTGCTTAGTTTGAACATGATGCCACAGAATGGCCACTGACCAGGCCTTCAGCATGTTCTGGTGAAAGGGTAAATTTCCATAATCGTTGGCAGTCTTTCAAGCTAGATGAGTTCCCTTGTACCACTCAAATTTATCTTTGTTAAGGGTGTTACCCTAGTCAGTCCCACAGGTATAAAAATGGGATAAAATTGTTTCATCATGGAACTGAAACACTAGTGTGAAATGGAGGACCCGGCAACACCAAACGATCTTGGATGAGTCAATGATCTTGCCAGCAACTCCAGACACCAACAAGAAAGGGATAAGGTAGCCTGGCATTGCCTAGCTGCCTCCTGGTTGGGATATCAGGACTCTCCAATAGCTTTCTTTGTGGTATCCAAGAGGTCATGTAATAGAGTTAAAAGGTCAGGATGTTAGTCAAGTCTTCACTCACAGCCCCAAACATTGAACAACTTGCCCATTTACTGTCAGATTCATTTCCCTTTAGGTCAATGTCTTCCCTCCTCAGGGCCTGGATTTCCATGGGCATTTGCAGCTGGATAAAGTGGGACTAAGGAAGTGGGTTCCCCCTGCCAGCTCTCTGGAGCATTTGAGTCCTCCTCAGGAAAGCAGAATGAGCCCTGTGTCACCCCATGGAACCCTGCACTGTCCTACAGAAACAACAGGGAAAACTCACTGAGTGCTCTGGGACATGCAGAGGCTATGCAGAATGATCAGGAAGTCAAAATGGCTCTCACTATTGGTATGGGAAGCAAAAACTGAGCTGATTCCAGAATATTTCCTGGGTGTTGGTTTCTTGAGCAAAACCTTTAGAAAATAGGACAGGTAAGATAAAAAGGCAGATATTATCAACAAGTGTTGGCAAAGATGTAAGAAATTGGCATCTTCATACACTGCTAGTGGGAATGTAAAATTGTGCAGCCACTGTGAAAAACAGTCTAGCAGTTTTCCAAAAGATAAAATACAGAATTACTGTGTGACCCAGCAATTCCACATCTAGGTATATAGCCAAGGGAAATGCTAACCCACACCCACACACAAACTTGCACATGGATGTTCATAGCAGCATTATTTACAACAGCCAAACACAGAAGCAACCCAAACACCCACCAGCGGATGAATGTGTAAATAACATGTGGTGTATCATACAAGGAATGCTATTAAGAAATAAAAAGGAATGAAGTACTGGTACATGCTACAAAGTAGACAAATCCTGAAAACATTATGCTAAATGAAAGAAGCCAGTCAAAAAGACCACATATGATGTGATTCTACTGATATGAAGTGTCCAGAATAAGTCACTCCATATAGAGACAGAAAGTAGATTCTTAGCCACCTAGAACTGGGAAGTTTGGGGGAAGTAGGGAATGGCTGCTTATGGGTATGAGGCTCTTTTTGGTGTAATGAAAATATTCTAAAGTTGATTGTGGTGATGTTTGCACAACTTTGTAAATAAATATACTAAAAACCACTGAATTGTACACTTTAAATGGGTAAATTCTGTGGCATATGAATTACATCTGAATAAAGCCATTATTTTAAAAAAAGAAAACTTTATAAAAGTTCTATTATTTGGGTTCTGCTTAATAAAGGCATCTTCTGCTAGACTTCCCTGGGGCTTATGGAAGACAAGCATCAACAGGAACTGGGGTCACTGTCACCCCTCTAGCGGCCTTTCCCAGTAGCTTCACAAAGACCAATGCACTAACGTGTTACCTCCAGAAACAACAGAATTGTCAGCTAGAATACATAGCCAAAAAAGCAAGAGCCCTGGGTGTATGTGTACAAATATATGTGTGTGTAGGCAAGGCAGGTTTTTCCTGAAGATCAAGTTCAGTTCTATGATCTCACTGGGGAGGGTCATATGTACATTTGCTTCCGGTTTGTATCTAATTTGGAAAAGCCAACATGGGTCGTGTACTCTAATTGTGTATTTGGTGATTTTTCCAGTTCAAAGACTTGGTGCCACTCCACTCCTTTTGTTCGGAGGATGGACTTACTCCTTGACTGCTGAAGAACACCCTGACCAGGTTCCTGCCATGGGAGGGGCAGGCTTCAGATGCAAGCCAGGGGCCGCCACTGGGGAAGAGCTCTTAACCCACAGAGGAAGATCCCTTCTCATGCGCTGGCCTCGTGCATGAGGGGAGGGGTGCAGGAGTGAGGAAGAGAGGGAAGGGGGCCCCTGCAGGCTGGTTCCCTTCCAAACAAGGCCCTGATGGAGGGAGCCTCCCAAACGGAACAAATGGGAGCAGAGCAGAAGAGAGGATATATACCTCTTTTCCTAAACATGATTCGAGATATACAGAGGGAAAGTTAAATTACGCTGCAATTTTGAAAGTCATCAACTGAAGATAAACTCTCCCTTCAAAGAAATTACTCATCTCTCTCCATCAGTGGTACCTCAGGGTCTAACAGTATTCAAATTTATTAAGCAATGACATGCAGAATGTATTGTATAAAGGGCCCATTTCATCACCCCTTTCCCTAAGCTACTTTTTCTTCCTGCAAAGTCACAAGAAGTCCAGTAAGTTCAAAATCAAAACAAAGCCTAACAAGTGCATGTGTGTGTGTGTACACACACACACACAAACACACACAGATGGAAAAAAAACAAGTCCTTCGTAGAAGTTACATGAGACAGGCAGCTTCAGAAGGGAAAAACACAATCTCTGACTAATACGAAGGAGACTCCAAATTGCTCTTGGCAACAATCTCTCAACCCCAGATTCTCCTCCCTCTATTCATCTCCACAGTTCCCAGCCAAAGGAAAAGAAACTGAATAGCTGTCTCCCTGGCCCAACCTGCAGTGCTGCATGGCTGAGCAAGGGCTGAGCAAACAAACATCCCCATGCAATGATAGCCCTGTGCAATTGCTGCAAAAACAGGCTAGCCAGTCGGGAGATAGCAGGTTGATCATCTCCATATTAGAAGGAGATTGCCTTTATTCTGGCACCACAGCATCAAAACAGAATGTAATATGATCTTGTGACCTCAAACCCAAGAGATATTTAAAAAAAAAAAAAAAAGAGGAAGAAGGAGAAAGTGTCCTCCCCAGAAGAGTTGGTACCATTTCCGAAGAAGGAAGGCCCAGAGCATCACTCAGATGGTTTTACCTTCAAGGCAAGATTTATCAGTTCACCTTCCTCACAAAAGTGATAGTTAATTTTAGAGGTAGGTATCTTATACCTATTATACTATTCAAGATGGAAGGAATGTTAACAGACCAAATGTCCCAGAATATTTATGGCTGCTCTGTCTCAAAGATCTATCTGACACTATTTTATTAGGACAGACTTGCGAGGTCAGCTAAAACGGAGAGATGGACAGGAGCATGGGGAAATGGTATTATAAGTGGAGATATAAGCCACGGAGCAGTTGAGCCCTGAAATGCCCCAGCAGGCTGGTATATGAGCTGCTCTGAGAACTATGGATGGCCACGAGACCTGGGTTCTAGTACTGGCTTTGTTACCAAGTCCTGTGAGCACAGACAACCTTCCCCAGCAGCAGGATGAGGGCTTGGAGCTGCAGCTCCAACCCTGCGAGTATGCAAAATGCTATCCCAGCCACTGGGTGACAACGTGATGCATCAGAAGGGTGATCGTCTGGGGCAGTTCTCAGTCTGGCTGGCCCTGCTTCCCGAGAGGGGCCAGACCTCTCGGAGGCTGCACGGGGCTCTTGTCATCTCTAGCTGGGATGTGCCAAAACCAAAGGTTCATCGTGAAACCCGCAATCATAAACCAATAATCTGAACAGCACTGACTCAAACAGCTACATGGGCACTGTGTGCACTCCACAGTGCCCCCTTGAGTCTGGGATGAGTCAGGATGAGTCCAGCTTCCCACCCCTTCTCATCCAGGCCTCCTGCTGCTTCTCCTTCCACAGGGCTGTGCTTCTGTAGCACTTTGCACATACTGCCTCATTTCATCCACTCAATATCCGTTGAAGGATAGACCATTACTGTTACTATTCCCCGTGGCCAAGGACCAGGTCGGACTTCACTTACTGATGAATGCCCTGCACTTAGCATAGTGTCTGGAATCACACATTAGAAAATACAATCATTGCTATTGTATTTATTGAATAAATTACTGATTGACTGAATGGAAAGAAACTGAAGTTCAAAAGGCTAATATTGTGTGTAACACACACTATTGTGTGTTGTACTATAATTATACCAGGGTTATTCCTGTCTCCCTAATCAAACGTAAGATTCTAAAAGATATATGTAGTATAATGGGCAGCTTCGACTCCTGGCTCTGTTGCTAAGAAGCTGGGCAGCATACTTAACTCTTTTGAGACTCAGTTTATTCATCCTCAAAGGGGGGCTAGTGTTCATACCTGACAGGTTGTGTAGGTTAGAGGAGACACTCTGCCAAGCACCGTGTCTGGCACACAGTAGATATCTCTGTATGCCCCATATCTTTCCTCTCTTTGGATTATCTCCCAGCACTGGCTCCACAGGATATGCCTAAAGTTCTGCAACCTCCAGGCCTTTGCTATTTTGGCCTTCTTCCTTCAAGGTCCTGCCCCAATTCCATTTCTATTTGTAGCCTTCCCTGGCTCTCCCAGCAGTCTGTCATGGACATCCTACTTGCTACCTAGGTTTTGCTTATTCTGTGCATGCCTCATCTGTCTGTGCTGGGTGCCTCTGGGTGGTGGTTCAGGCCTGAGTCCTGCTCTTCATCACCTGGCAGGGCTCAGAAGGTGGGATCCAAATCTACCAATTTCATAAAATTCTGGAACCCAACCAGGTGGCCTCAGGGACTGTGTGGCCTTGGTGTCCAGTGGTTCTGGGTCAGGGGCTCTGGACCCACCTGTACTCCTGGGCTTCAGTGCCTCACCTATGAACTGGGGCTGATGAGGATAGTGGTGGTTGCCCTTGTGTGTCTTTAGTGCGGTAGTTTGGGAGAGCTCAGAAATGAGTACTAACACCCAGCCTGAAGAGAGAGCCCAGGCTGAAGCAAGTCGTTCTGGGGAGGGTAAGTTTCTTTTCTCTCTCAGCTCAGATTGAACCACAAGGGGAGTGGGTAGCAACTAGGCTATGTTCCTTTCCTGGAGCTCTATGCAGAGGAGGGGTTCCTGACCCCTTCTAATCCCCAGGACTTAACTGGGTGAAGGAGTGGAGCTGAAACTTGAACTTGCAAGGCCTTCGCCCTTCCTACCACTCCCCTTTCACAAAATCTTCTATTGAACCTGGTGAAAACTGCCTGATTGTTTAATGGACTTCCTTTACAATTCCAAAATTCTGTGTTTAGGAGGACTGGACAGGGTAAGCTACCAGTCTGCCAATGAATCTTAAGAATGGGACTTCCTCCTGTGCAAAGCCCAGTACCAGGGGTTAAAAGAAAGAGGGCAGCTATCTCCTGCCGACCCACAGCCAGGACACCAGAAGCCAGAAACCGGGACAATCGAACTGGAGTCCCCCGGAGCCCTCACCACCGGCGGGCTGAACCTGCACCGCCACTCAGGGATCAGCGCGGGCATGGGTGAGGGTCCCTTCCAGGCCACCCCCTCGGCCTCTGCGCCCCCCACCTGCAGAGAACTAGGCGCTCTGGCGGGCGACGCAGCAGGGTGCCGGGAGGGTGGGGGTACACGCATCTGGTCGCTGTCCCACCCCACCAGGCCGCCTCCGGAGCTCTGAGACCCCCTTTGGCCTTGGTCCCTGGGAGGGAGTCGTTATCCCCTCCAGGGTTGGAGCGCAGGGTAAGGTCTCCCACCCACCCAGCTCAGGCCGCGACTCAAGCCCGGGACCGCCGCGGGTGTCCCTCCGCCTTGCCGAGTGACTTCTGCCAATCCCACCTTTAATTTCTCTTCCCGTCCGGACCTTGACTTCTGCCAGGAGTTGCCAAGGCTTTTGTCGCCTCCCTCCCCCCACGTTTTGCTTCTGACACTGGGAAGGACCAAATTTTTCGGGGGACGGAATTTAAACTAACAACCTATATCCGCCACTACCTTACAGGGTGCCCCTCACACTCTTCCCCGTCCTCTCTCCCCGGTCCCTAAAAGCCGCCGGCCGAGGGCAATGAGAAACCGAGGAGAGTCGCTTCACGCAGAGTTCCAATTTTTTCCTGCATTTCGCTGAGTGGCAGCGGCGCGCGCCTCTCCACGAGCCCAGGAGCTCCGGGCCGGGTTTCCCCGGCACGCTCGGCTGCAGCCCAGGCGCGGGTTTGAAATTTCTTGCAGACGCCGCCACTCACGCCCGGCGAGCGCCAGTCGGAGCCGCCGCCCCGGGCCAGAGGGTCCCCGCTGCGCGAAGCACGAAAGCCTGCAGTGCCCGGGGTGGGGACGCAGCCGGCCCGGCAGGCTCTCCCCGACGCCGGGCAGGGCTTCCTCCCCACCCCCTCTCCACTGCCCGGCCGCCTCGCTCCCCGGAGCCCCGATCACTGCCCGCTCCGGCCAGGCCGCCGCAGACCCACCTGGCCGCCCCGGGGACGCCGCGCTCGTGCCCGCGCCGTGTCCTGAGCGCCGCCAGGGTCCCGGGCTGGGAATCCACGCGGCAGCGCTGCTCAGGGGAGCCTGCCGCAGCCGGCGGGAGGTTGTCATTGATTCGTGCTGGGCGAGTTAAGCCATTCCAGGAGTGGTTTTGGGAGAGCACTCCCACCCCTCCCTGCAACCAGAAGTATTTGGCAGGCAGCCCCTTTCGTCCACCTGTACTGTTAAGCGCGGAGCAACGACCAATTTCAGCAATTGCGCTTTATACCTCACCTTAAAACAAGCAAATAAAGTACTTTCGTAAAGGTAAAAGCAGAAATGAAAGCAAGGCTGGTGGTGGAGAATTCTCCCCGCTTTGCTCCTGGTCTCGGGTTATTTATTTATTTTCTCTAATAGTTCCCAAAATGCCTTACCACTTATCTCAAATCAGGGGCGCTTTTCATTATTATTGTTTTATTCAATTCTGCATGTCTTTTATTTTTAGAGGCAATTTTATTTCCATTTGCCTGCAACCTGAGCCCAATAAAATCGCTAGAATTACATGTTTGCTCCTTAAAGGGTCGTGAGTGTAACTTAATCAAATGGAACATTGCAAGCGTTCAAGTGGCAAATAAAAAAGAGGAAAGTGCAGGAGGGAAGCCCAGAACTTTGGCTCCCTCCACCGGGTGGCCCAGCTGGGCTTTACCGCGGTGGAGTCCTGAGGCCTGGGGTGGGGGCACCCACTGCCACTCAGTGCCCACAGCAAGCACACAGATCATCCAGGTGCTCCTTTGCTTCGCCTCCCTTCTAAGACTGACTCAGAAATGTCAACCAGAAATCCAACATTTGGGGTGGGTCAACCACCAATCACAGAGAGGAGTGGCCAGAGCACCCTCTCCCAAGCTGTTCCTTAAAGCCACACACCACACCCTTTTTTTTGAAAAGTGCCAGCTGGGGGTCTTAGGCTGCTGTCAGCCCTCTTTCCCCTGGAACTGTCCTTCACCTGGGGGAAGCCATTATTAACTCCTTGGTACCTAGGCTGGCTCTTCTTAGAAATGAGGAAAGGTCTGGAGAAGTCCTTCCCTGGGGATCAGCTGCCCAGTCCACCATGGAAAATCAGCACAAAGAAATGAGACGGTGAGAGGCCTCTGGCACTCCTCCAGGGGCAGGCCACAAACCTTAAAGCACCCCAAAGGCAAATCCCAAGGTCCATTAGTCCATGAAGGCCAAGAATGGGGCTGGGATTTGCTAAACCCCAGGAAGATAGTTCAGACTAAAGTATCTCCTCCAACAGGTGCCTCCTGCCTGAAATCCCACGTTAGTGATTCATTCCTTCGTGGTGTACACCCTGCGGAAAGCCTGCACCAAGCAGGCAAAATTACTCCAGAAAGACAGAAAAGGTCTCTCCCCATGGTTCTAAAATTCTATATACCCACGGGCGGGGGTGCAGGAGTCTCCACAAGGGGCTGGATGAGCCAGACCCTCCTTGCTGTGGTGGGAGAGCCACAGGTGGCAGCCTGAGGCTCCAAGCCAGGGTGGGGTGGAGTGGAGAGGAGAGGAGTGGGATGGGGAGGGGGTGCTAAATCAGGGAACCAGGCACTGAAGGTCAGAAGGAGGGCCACTTAATCAGGGCAGGTGGACAGCTTCCAAGATTGGATGACTCCATAGCTTTTTATCAAAATCCATGTACTCCCGGAACACCAAAACCAAAGAATGAAAAGTCAAATCTCTTTGTCCACAAAGTCACTAATTAAATATCCAATCAAGCATAAGTCCACACTCCACTCCCAGACCTAGTAGGGAAAGTTGCCAGCACAGGACCTGGATGGAATCAGTATCAGTCCAGAAGTGTTTGTTGTGCACCCATAAGGGGTTTTCTTCAACAGCCTGGGTGAAGGTCGGGTGAGGTGAGGTGGGTGCAGTGCAGTGCGGCCCTCAGAGCCTCACTTTCATTGGAAGATAAAGCACAGAGGGCTGGTCAGCATGGGGTAGGGTGCAGACAGCATGTGCGGGGTCCATTAAGGAACCAGAGAGCATTAATTCTGCAGAGCAGACGAGGGGCCAAAAGCAATCAGGAGGGCCAGGCTCATCCGGAGAAGGCTCCAGGAGGTGGGCTGGGCAGGCTGGAAGTTTGCACTGCCGTGAGCAGGAGGACATGTCAGGTGGGGACTAAAGGCTGGAGGAGGGGGCAGCTGGACTGGTGTAGATGGTTCTTCCAGTGGACAGAGCATCAGGTTGGAGCATATGGGGAGAAACCAGTTTATGAATGCAGCTTCCTGCTGAAAGGAGAGAGGGCAGGGCAGCAGGGCCTGAGTTGAAGGGAAGGAGGATTGCAGCACCTCTTTCAAACCCAGCTGGAGCTGGATGTGGGCAGAGGAGATGGCGGAGGGAGGCTGTGGAGGTGGGGGAGAGTTGTGGTGCCCAGCCCAGCCTGCCCCCAGGCAGCCCCTCCTAGTAGGGCTCCAGCTCCTGGACCTGAAGGAGTGTCTGAACAGACCAGAGGGTGGTGCCAGGGCTGCTAATATTGCAGCCAAGAGGCCGGGGGGGAGGAGGAGGCTGGCCACTGTCCAGCACACCGGCTGGGTCCCACAGTGGACAGTGAATGTCATTCCTTCCTCCCCCTTAATCTCTGTCTGTGTGTGCCCTGTTGGGACACACCCTTCAGAATGGCTCCAGGCAAAAAGGGGAGAGCCCTGCCCCACTGCCCCTACAGCCTTGCCTCCCAGTTCTCAGCCCCATGCCAGGTGCCTCCTGGGCACAGGAACATAAAGGAGCCTCAGAGGGGTGGGGTGGGACAAGGGGGACAGGGAAGCTCCAAACGCCACCCACAGGAGGGGCTCTGGGCAGGCCAGACTCCAGATCTGTTCTTGTGCATTTCCTTTTGGGATGTGGTTCCTTCCCAGGCCCTCTGTGGTCCCCTCCCTCTTACTCACCCTCTTCCTCTCCCTCCTCCCCCTTCCCCATCCCCCTTCATGGGGCAGGTCAGTCAGAGCCCTTGGAAATACTCAGTCTTACAGGCGCTTTGCTTTCCACATCTGCCTCCAAACCCACAACTCACTCATTCCAGGGAGGATGAAAGCTCCTACTTCAACCACCAGGCATGGCTCAGAGACTAAATAGAAGCACCATGAGCAGATGTGCTATTGTCTTAGCCTGAAACTTTAGTAGCACCTGGTCATCAGCTGTGAGGTAGGCACACAGATGGTTTCTTTACTAGCATGCACACACATACAGAATGTCTGTATGCACATGTATAGAAAGGTGGATACAGAGATGAGCCATGTGATCTGGAAACAATAATAAGTAGTATCTATTGAGGGTTCACTCCTTCACTTAATCCTGGCACAACACCATGGGCTGGATTCTTTTATTTCACCATTTTATTGATGAGGCTCAGAGAGGTCTTATCACTTGTCCAAGGTCACACAGCTTGATAAATCACCTGGGTCTTTGGAACTGGTGCCCAAAGGACATCCCTCCCTGCCCAAACCCCCCTGTTCAGCTCTGGCTCTTTGTCTAGTTCCTACAATTGTGTGTGCAATTGAGATTGTGTGTGTACAACCTACAATCTCTAAAAAAGCAGTTTGCTTTGCTGATATGTTTTTAGTTTCTCCACCTGCTGAAGAGGGATAATGACCTCTCCTGAACCAAAAGGCTATTATTAGCCAGGAGAAGGCTGAGATGGAGGTTGGACTTTGGTAAAGCGCTGCAGCAAGTCTTCCCCAAAGAATGCACACAGTCCTGGAATTGAGTTTTACTCAGGTTGGAAACTCAGAGTCACCCTTCCTGCCTCCTTCTCCTTCCCATCCCATGCCCCACCCCTGCCAACCCATCCATCTGCAAGACTATCTCCAAAACAGATCTGAAACCACCCTGCCACCTCCTCCACCTCTGCCCTAGGCTGAGCCACCACACCCCCTCACCTTGACTTCTGCAGGGACCCTTATCTAGTCTCCCTGCTCCCATTCTGTCCTGATGCTTCAGCCTCACACCACACAGCTGTCCAAACAATCTTCTTAAATTGTGCATCTGATCATGTCACAGACTCTTAACATGCAACCCAAACTGTTCACCAATGCCCACGTGGCATTGAAATACCCCTACTTTCCTAAAACTTCCCTGCCTCCTGCCTCCTGTCCCCCATCCTCCAGTGACAGGCAGACCTGCCAAGTTCCTTTTCCTTCCATTTGTGGGACTTTGCATGTTTGGATTCCTTGGCCTGACATGCTCTCCACCTACATCAGGTCTTCCAGAATTGTTACCTCCTCAGAGAGGCCTTCCTTGACAACTACATATAACTTAGGAACCTCTCCCTGCCCATTATCTATTCCAGACCCTTGGTCAAAGCACTTTCGCTACTTGCATACTTTTATTTAACTGCGTGGTTATGTTGAATTATTTTTTGACTGTCCCTCTCACTAGAATAGAGGCTGCTTGTGGGTGGGGACCTTGTGCATCTTTTTTACTGTGTGTATCTGCTACAGGTAAAGCCCCTGGCAAATATATGGGGGACAACGGTTTTGTTGAGAGAACCCCAGATCTGGGAGACAGGAAGCATGGATCTAGACCTGGCTCTGCCACTGACAAGCTGTGTGCCCTTAGAGATGTCACCACCACCCCCAACCCCCAAACCCTCAGCCTCATCCTCTGCAAGTGGGGATGATGGATGAGATGGGGACTGGGGTCTGATGCATTGCAGTCAGGTTGGCCTCCATTCCCTGAGAACTAATGGAGGCCCGTGCACAAACAAGAAGAGAATCCTGGCACTAATGCACCTGACATGGCTTCGAAAGCCTTTGCTTCTGTTGTCAGTCCTGCTGACTTTTTAGATACATCAGCTTGTGTGGGTAGAGGCATTCACAGGGCTGTGACCAGACACCAGCCCCAAAGCACATGCTGCCATGCAAGCATCAAGACCTGTCCAGAGAAAGCAGTTACTACCCTGGAGAGAACCAGCCTCCTGTAAGGGCTGATTTTTTTTGAGATTTCCACCACAACTGCCACATGCCCTAGCACACAGATCAAGTGACGGGCCTCGGTGATGTCAGCTTCCATGCCTGTAGTGCTTTCCCCTGAGGCTTTCTAAGCCTTGTTATCCTGCTTGGCCTTCCCAACAGCCCTGGACAGCAGACCAGCAAGGGAATTGGATTCCCTCTTCCAAAGATGAGGAAACTGAGACCCAGATTAAAAAGTGAGTGAGTGGCAGAATGGAGACCTTTGAAATGAAGGGTATGAATCTCAAGTGAGATTAATAATTTTTAAAGATGTACATGTATATGGATATATAACTTTAAGAGAATATTAATATATGTGAAATAGATCTGAAAAACATATATGAAATTCTTCCATATTAGAGGAAATTTGTGGACCAGGGGAGGAAGTCCCTCATAATCCCACCACAGGATATGGGTTAGTATTGGTAACATCTCAGCAGTGTAGACAGTTAAGCTCAGTCTCAGTGTCTCCTGCTTCCTGACTCGCGGGAGGGAACAGTCCACACTGCATTCAACACTGATTTTACCTGACATGCCACTTTGCACTTCTTAGGTGCTCGAGAAATGTTCAATTAAATTTTGAGGAAAACAGAGAAAACTCAACTGGCTGGAGCAAGAGGAAAAGGTGGCACCTCAGGGCCTGCCAGCCTCTTCCTTCAGGGCCCTCCAGTGTCCCGTCTGAGCAGACCAAGCCCTCGCTATTCTGAAGTCCCCTGTTTGTACTATGATCACAGGGGACTTCACTGTAATCATGGGGCTC